TAATGAGTAATAAATTTGACTTCAACAAAGTGACTTTTAAGACATGTTCATCAAATTGTTTTGAATAATGTACAAATTAGTCCAATTGTAATCATTTAAACATTTAAGTTCCGACTTTCGATGAAAGTGAGGAATATATATGCCGGGTTAATTTTAGCACTTTGATATTATCAGCCTAAAATTTGTAGTTTGTCAATAGTTTATATACCAAAAGCGAGTCAATACCAATTAATGGGCAGTTGAAACATTCAGGGCTTTACCCTAATACGAGCACTCTTGTTTTTTTTTCAGGTTCTCTTTCCGCGTTGCGCACGAAAAACTCTCTTAAAAATGTGATAAGTTCAGATCACATTTTTTCGTGAGCGACTTGGAAAAAGAGCCTGAAAAAAAACAAGAAAGCTCGTTTCAGGGTATAGCCCTGAATATTTCTACTGCCCATTAATTGGTCTCGGGAATCGTTTTTGGTATATAAAATATTGACAAACTACAAATTTTAGGCTGATAAAACCAAAGTGTTAAAGTTTGAGTCGTTTCTGGAAATAATAAGACCATTTAGCTTGACTCATTTCAATTTGGAATGATTGAGTGCAGATAAATTGCTACGCATAAAAAAGTCGCTAATATTCCAGCAGAAAACCGGGCTTTAATTAAGTGCAAGCATACTCGTTTGTTACTTTTACTGCTACCGGATACCGGGTACCATTGACCAAACTCGCCAATGTTGCGCCAAGTAATTAAAAGCGGACTACTTAAGATCTAGTGTAATTCTACAATAAATACACACGTTGGTTGATCGTTTCAGTAAAAATTGCACCACTAAGGTAGCCAAAAATCAATTTACTAATATTGATTTTTGTTACGACTTTCGAATAAAACGGAAAATTTATGCTCGGTGTGAAAATCATAATAAAATAAACATACTAGATGCAGATAAAATAGGTGCAGGTATAATAGATTTAGTTTTTTTTTCAGTTTTTGTAAATCGGTATCTAAAATTATTAAAACTTTTCCGATCCGCCTTCGATCGAGCATGATTTTCATTCATCTGCCTTTTATATAATCGGTCAATATTAACACTAAAGGCCTGGTTTTATTTGCTTAGTTTGAAATTTTTGCTATTTCCCTAAGATTTTTCAATACTCAATTCTGATTGGCTGAAAAAAAGCCAAAACAAATTTCAAGCATTTGGTCCATCCAGCATGAGGGACATCACCATTTCGTAGGACTCAACATTTCACATTTTGATTTTGTTCAAACTTATAGGTTTTCAATATTTTCGCTTCACAAAAACTTTTCGATATGAATCAAAGGATAGTCGGAACATTCAGGGCTTCAGCTTGATATACGAGCAGTCTTGCCTGGGCATTGTTTTTGGCTCCAGAGTTTCTGTTTGAATCGGGTACAAACACTGAGAGCTGCTTTTCATTTTTAAAAGATGACAAAAAGCCCTGTGGAATACAAGGACATATCGTAAAATTTTTGAGAAAAACTAAAACCTTTCATCAAACCCCCTCCTTGAAATTTACGCTTAGAAAAGAAGTAGAGAAGACCCGTTCAACAGGCAGCAATGTCTCTGGAATCAAAAACTGAGCTGATATATGAGCAATGCATCGTTAACAAAGAAAGAAATAAAACTCTTCGTATCAGGGCAAAGCCCTGAAGGTTGCGAATACCTTTTAAGGTAGAAAGCATGAAAAAAATAAATAATAAATGAAATTGAGTAATAAATTATGGAACAGTTTCTGAGACAGTTTAAATCTCCGCCTAGTTTCTCGCGCGTTAATTGTCCTAAATTGGCCAAAGTGGCAATCTCTAAACCCCCATAACGTTAGGAAAAAAGACCAGAGGTGAAATATTTTTCAATTTTAAGCTCAGGACAACAATACCTTTTTAATATTATTTAAAAATTCCGTCAAAAATGGCTAGTTAAAAAGACAAAATTTGTCTGAAGAAAAAAACCCACTCCGAGCACAATTATTCCGTTAATTTCGTTACTAGCGTCGGAACAATAATGAACAAGCCTATCGGGTTCGAATTAAATGTCGGTTTTCCATACAAGGACCTAGACTGAAGAAAAAAACCCACTCCGAGCACAATTATTCCGTTAATTTCGTTACTAGCGTCGGAACAATAACGAACAAGCCTATCGGGTTCGAATTAAATGTCGGTTTTCGATACAAGGACCTAGACTCTGACCTGACTTTTGGAGGAAAGCAAGTAGAAATAAATGTAGTGTTCCAGAAAATCGAAAGTCGTCCATATGACGGCTGTATGTAGCTAAAAATTTGTATTCGTAAAAATTTTGCTATCTTAACGCATTGTTAGTTGTTATTAGGTATTTTCTTTGAATGAAGTCTACAATTTTACCTACAAAGGCTGTAATTTATGGTCTTTGTAGATCTAGAATCTTGCTTCACTGGGTTTGTTCTCTCTTCCTAACGAAAACGCAAAGTGGTCCCTTGGGCAGTGAATTCAGCGGGGAGACCGAGGTTCACTACTATCTACAATCCCGAAAGGGTTAGTTGGTGGCAAATATTCTGTGTTGTATTATGTTGCTTGCCCCTTCTGAGTACTGCTCGTAAGGCTGTCTATCTCGTCTACTTGATACAATTGCAAGGATTTCCAATGATAAATTAATTTAGATGATTATATGTCCAATTACAGAAGGCTTTGAGTGGCCAGGAAACAATCTAATAATCAACTCAAAAGGAAAAGGTCCGCGATTTATCGGCCTAATTTTCACTAATTTCACTAACACTAGACTATTCTCTCTCTCTCTCTCTATATAGAGAATCTCTGATGAGAACTAACTATCTACTGGTCTCTTACTCCGAGAACCAATTACTCAAGTTGCTAGCAATAACTTTTCTCTCTAACTAACTGAGAATCATCTATACTCTCTCTCTCAGTATCAATTGCTCTCTTCTCTGACTGAGAACCAGCTACTCCTAATAGTAGTTAACAATTGTTCTGACTCTTAAACGCTCTCCGGTACCCTCCAATTCCTTATCTTTCTATACACTAAGTTTTAGTTAAGTCACGCCATTCTCTATCAGTCGTGACATCCGCTTAAATCACCCGTCCGCACATGTTTTAAGACTATATCCTTCCTCCTGTCAAGTCTGCCACGTGCCCAATTTGGTTTATTTTATCAACCTTTTAACGCTTATTAGTTACCCGGTATGCAGTGGGTGTCACAATTTGACCAAGCAAACAAAATTCATATGATTCGAATCAACTAATTCCTGACCTCAGTGACTTCAATTCTCGGGTTCAACTCAACCTCCAAACCAGGCTATTTTTACTCAGTGATCCTCCCAAGGTCTTTATTTTAATTATCCCGTTATCGTTTCGATCTCCCAAGGGTAGGGAGAGACCCTTTTCATGGGAAGCTATTTCATTCCAAGCATCTAAAATTTCTGTCTGTACTCTTTTCCAATCCCGACCTTCTAGCTATCAGGGGAGTAAGTTCATCTATTAGGGGTCAAATCTAAACAAAAGATCACCTCCGGGAAGCCAAGTAAATTCACTGTCTTTTCATTCTACTTAGGAGACCTAATTCTCACGCTGCGGTCCTATCACTATCAATTTCCTCTGGAACTACTTTTCTTTAGTCTAGATGAATTGCAATTAATAGATCACTTGCCAAGCTAAACTGAATCCAATGTTTGCCAAGTCCACTTTAAATTAACTCCACTATTCCAAGGTTGCAATGTAAAAGCTATATCTATATCAGCTTCTGCTCTAGTTCCTAAAATATAAGTTTTCCCTCAAATTTTAGCAAGGTGACCCATTCTCCTTTCCAGGGGTTGGGCTGGGAAATACGCCACTTTCCGGTGTTAATCTTGGGGTTTTCTGTGCAATTTTGGGGTCAAGACGCCCAAAGGTCAATTTGAGGTCACCCAGGGTTCAACCGGGGTCAAACTTCTATATTTGATTTCAGAATCCCATGGGGTCCTAACTACCAAGTTCTATCCATATCCCATTAATACTTCACAAGTTATCCCATTTCTAAGGTCCATTATCACTTTTTCAAATGGGCTATTAACACTGGAAGGAGTCGCCGGAGGGTTTTTACTCACTAGGGGTCTTTTTCGTGATTCGTATTTTATTTTATGTCGATTGCTGCAATAAAATCTTTTTGCCACCGTTCATTATTTTGCGTTAATTGTCTACTTTTGGTCTAAAGTGGTGTTTTTTTAAAGTGCTAATAGCCTCCGACCCACCCACCGGAGTTAGTTCAAATTATAACACAAGATGTATCTTGCCATTACCTATCATCTCTCGAAGTTTCAGCTCCCCGTGATCACTGTAGGCCGAGAAACGACTTCCGGAAGTTAGGGGTGGGTTTGTTCACTTAGGGCATAAAATTGGAAGTGGTGTTCCTAGGAGTATGGGATTCTAAAATTAAGCTTCCCTTAACTAGGCCTACAACATACTATATTTTGAGCCCCTTACCGCCGCTAGTTTTCGTGTTCTGATAGGGCCATTAACACTTCCGGGGACTGTTATCACTTGCCCCCCAAGGGTCTGAGGGGTCCCGTTTTTCGCATGCCCTGATCAAATCATCTGTAGTATCCCTCCTCTGAATTTCATAACATTAGCTTCCTTAGTTTCGATTTGGGGGGGGGGTTTCGCCGATTTTCTCAACTTTTATTTTCTGGCACAGGAGGGACGATATCTTCGAAGAATGAACTATTTTGAACTCGAACCTTTGTTTGATGCTCTACTTAACTTAATGACGAATCCATCTTACGCTCAGGTTACTATAGCATGTAATACAGTAGAATCACCAATTCTAGTCTTGCTAATCTTGCTAGTTTTTGACAAAATATACATTATATACGCCTTATTAAGACTTTTGAAAAGTTGTAGAATTGTTTTGCGAGATAACTAGTAGCCGTCAACAAGGGATTTAATAAACTAAAAGTTTTTTTGTCGGGCTATTAACGTCCTTTTTTGGGGGTCGATATTGCAAACTTTGACATAGAAATGCTAACCTGAACCAGTATTTTTGGGAACTTTTCTACATCGTATGACCGGTAACTTCTATCCGACTTGCAACCAACTGCTTTTCTCTCTGTTAGATTCGAGCAAAAACAGGTAGCCTCATCGTCAACTCGTATATTAATTCTTTTGTAGTTTCGACTGGCACAAAATAAAACGCAATCTGTCGCGTCAAGTTTCAAAATCGGATCATCTGTTTTGCTTGAGTGCCCCACGCAATTTTTGAAATCTAATTTTGAGATCGCTAATTTAACCAGCGGAGAAACTTGAAACTGATCGGCGAAACTCGCCCACGTTTCATCGCGGTTCTGGGTCACTTGGGAAAAAGTGGGTTTGAGATGATCCTGCTCGCCGACCAGTGAATTTTTTTCAACAGAGTTTAGTTCCCACAATTTCCGACCAGGGAGCATCTGCTGACTTTTGGTGCGGAAGTTTTTGAATTTCCATGCCGATTGGTTCCAGTCAAAGGTATAAACTCCCAGAAAGAATACTAGCAGTACAAGATATTTTATTGAACGTTTAGTTTTTGCTATGATTGAAAGCATAACGAAAACAATAGAGAAACTAACTATACAATAAAATGAAACGTGTCACTGCTTCTTCAAAATTTTTCGTAATGCTCTACAAGTAGTATTGAGGCGAGCTTTATCGCTTATGACGCATTAGAAGATCAAATCTACCAATTGAATTTATGAACTTAGCAAAGTGTGCCACTCGATATGAAAGTTGTAGCTTCGGTTAATTAGTTCTGTCTCCCCCCTCCCTACCTCCTCCAATCTTATAACTCAAAAGAGATCAGCAAAAAACTCGAGTTGAACTCCAAAGAAATGAGAAGCATCACTATCAAAAAGAAATATATGAAAGTAAAACTGCAATCTTGAATACAACCTGCCCTAGAAATAGGAAGTTGGATATATGGACGAAGAAAAGCAGGTATCGATGGGGTGAATCGAAATAACCGTTAAAAAGTAGACATCAAACAAAAGTCCAAACGGCTCACGGCTCATGGATAAGCACCACAATTAATTCAATTCAAACAAAATGATTAAATGAAAGTTTTGACCATGGTTTAAAAGTTTCTACAGCTTGTGCACCGTCTTAAGAAATCCTTCAAGAATCGTTATCAAAGTGTCCACCGTCTTAGCAGGAACTCCTTTTGAAGTAAAATCAGCCGCATTCAGATCTCCGTTGTATTTGCCTTTGAAGGATCCCTCTCCCAACATCAGAATCGAATGAAGTAGCCGAGTCTGACCTACGTGGAACATCCGTAGCAGGTTTCCATGGTAGAAGGCGGGATCTTGACTCAGAGGTTCTTCCAAGTGAAAAGACAGAGTTCCAATTCCGCCTCCGTAGGGAACTTGAATCGCAATCACGTGCTTAGCTTCGAAAAAGTCTCGAACCTGCTCTGGAGTCATGGCCAAAACGTGTCGCCGAACCGCTTTGCGTGCGGGTGAACATTTTGCCAGATTGAATTTAAACCCGCTTTGAATGTTCACGTTGAGATAAACTGTGTCCCCATTTTTTAGCCCGAATTCGGAAAAGAAAGTCAAATTATCTGGAATGTTTTTACTAGTTTTAGTTGCAAGTTTGAAAATGGACCGTGAAAGGGAAAGACGTGCTGAAACTTCAATGTGAAGGTCACGCAAGGTTGATTTCTTGGGAAGTTCAATATAAAACGGTGCTTTTAAAGGGCAAATAATAGTCAGCGTATAATTTTCATCGGTAGGTGGTCTAGAAGATTGGGAGTTTGACGAGTTACTGGAGTTTAATGATAGCTTTTTGAAACTTAGAGCGAGGGAACTCGCCATTGAATCTTTGCAAATGGAAACGTTTATAGATGTCTTAAGCATATGTAAAGGCTGTATTTTTTCTTGGTGATTAAATTTTTGAAGTATTTTAGTAAAATTTCAATGTAAGGAGAAAAATAGTAAATTAATTGTTTTGAAAAGAAAATTCTAATCGGTTAAACAAAGTTACACTTGTAAGAACAAATAACAAAATCTGTTTGATTAGAAAGAATGATCTTGTTGAGACTTTGGAGAGAGTATGTTTAGATAAAAAAGCTGCAAGATACATACAATTAATACTCGAACTTAAATTACCAGTTTGCGCTCCGACCAATTGGTAATAATACCAACGAGTTTAATTGAGACCATTACTTCGCGTAGTGTAATTAGCGAATTGCATCTTCGGCGTCTTAATTGTTGAGAGCTAACCAAGTGAAAAGAGATTATAAGAATTAACTCGAATTGTTTCCGGCTTAGCGCTTTTGAATTGTTTGACGCCTCATTTTGGTATAAATAGAGACACTTAGAGACACTAATTTATGAATCACCTTATTATATAATAAAGATTAAAACACAATCTGACTATGTCGAAAAGATAAGATGGCAAGCTCAATGTCATGGGATATCGATTATGTGGAAAGCATATGGAAAGTTTCTCATTTTCCAAAGTAATGAAAAAAAACATGTGTTTGAAAGATTTTTGATTATGCTATAGTTGAAATTTAGCAATCAAATTTTAGCACTCAAATACTCGGAATAAAGGACTATAGCAAAACATCCTTTGAAGCCGCATAAAGCTATTCATTTTTGTGTGAAGACATGGGCGGGTCTAGGATTTTCACGAAGGCGTGGGCGGAGTTTTGTCGACCTTTTTCTAGGTTGACCCAATTGGTTGGGCAAAGTTGGCGTGGGCAAAGTTTTGTCGACCTTTTTCTAGGTTGACCCAATTGCTTTTCCGAGCTCTCCAAAAGCACTAAAAGCCCCTGCTTTGGCCAAATTATTTGCACTGAAGGTGAACTCTAAAAAAACAGGCCAAAAAAGGCGGTTTTGGCACTTTTTGGACAGTAGCGATTAAAAAATTGCCTTTTTTCGGCTCGAGCTCTCCCCTCAAAATTAGTTTATATTGGCTCCAAAGGCGCCTTTAGGCAAACTTTAGGATCAGTACGAAAGGACCCCCCCCCTCCCTCCTTCATCTACTTCCGCTATTGAGTGAAGATAAATATGGTAGATCCTCCAAAATCTTTTCTTTTAGTTGTCTTTTGGAGGCGTTCAGTTAAATTCATCATTCATAATTGGTCAGCGACAGATGCAGGCACAAAAAAAGTAAAAAATTATAAAACTCAATTTAATAAACCTTGATTGGTAAAAAGCCGAGCTAAGTTATAACCAGACAAAAAATTATAAAACCTAATTTAATAAACCTTGATTGGTAAAAAGCCGAGCTAAGATTATAACCAAGCTAAGTCGGAAAACGCCTTCGGAGTCGAAGACATTAAAAGCGGACTACTTAAGATCTAGTGTAATTCTACAATAAATACACACCTTGGTTGATCGTTTCAGTAAAAATTGCACCACTAAGGTAGCCAAAAATCAATTTACTAATATTGATTTTTGTTACGACTTTCGAATAAAACGGAAAATTTATGCTCGGTGTGAAAATCATAATAAAATAAACATACTAGATGCAGATAAAATAGGTGCAGGTATAATAGATTTAGTTTTTTTTTCAGTTTTTGTAAATCGGTATCTAAAATTATTAAAACTTTTCCGATCCGCCTTCGATCGAGCATGATTTTCATTCATCTGCCTTTTATATAATCGGTCAATATTAACACTAAAGGCCTGGTTTTATTTGCTTAGTTTGAAATTTTTGCTATTTCCCTAAGATTTTTCAATACTCAATTCTGATTGGCTGAAAAAAAGCCAAAACAAATTTCAAGCATTTGGTCCATCCAGCATGAGGGACATCACCATTTCGTAGGACTCAACATTTCACATTTTGATTTTGTTCAAACTTATAGGTTTTCAATATTTTCGCTTCACAAAAACTTTTCGATATGAATCAAAGGATAGTCGGAACATTCAGGGCTTCAGCTTGATATACGAGCAGTCTTGCCTGGGCATTGTTTTTGGCTCCAGAGTTTCTGTTTGAATCGGGTACAAACACTGAGAGCTGCTTTTCATTTTTAAAAGATGACAAAAAGCCCTGTGGAATACAAGGACATATCGTAAAATTTTTGAGAAAAACTAAAACCTTTCATCAAACCCCCTCCTTGAAATTTACGCTTAGAAAAGAAGTAGAGAAGACCCGTTCAACAGGCAGCAATGTCTCTGGAATCAAAAACTGAGCTGATATATGAGCAATGCATCGTTAACAAAGAAAGAAATAAAACTCTTCGTATCAGGGCAAAGCCCTGAAGGTTGCGAATACCTTTTAAGGTAGAAAGCATGAAAAAAATAAATAATAAATGAAATTGAGTAATAAATTATGGAACAGTTTCTGAGACAGTTTAAATCTCCGCCTAGTTTCTCGCGCGTTAATTGTCCTAAATTGGCCAAAGTGGCAATCTCTAAACCCCCATAACGTTAGGAAAAAAGACCAGAGGTGAAATATTTTTCAATTTTAAGCTCAGGACAACAATACCTTTTTAATATTATTTAAAAATTCCGTCAAAAATGGCTAGTTAAAAAGACAAAATTTGTCTGAAGAAAAAAACCCACTCCGAGCACAATTATTCCGTTAATTTCGTTACTAGCGTCGGAACAATAATGAACAAGCCTATCGGGTTCGAATTAAATGTCGGTTTTCCATACAAGGACCTAGACTGAAGAAAAAAACCCACTCCGAGCACAATTATTCCGTTAATTTCGTTACTAGCGTCGGAACAATAACGAACAAGCCTATCGGGTTCGAATTAAATGTCGGTTTTCGATACAAGGACCTAGACTCTGACCTGACTTTTGGAGGAAAGCAAGTAGAAATAAATGTAGTGTTCCAGAAAATCGAAAGTCGTCCATATGACGGCTGTATGTAGCTAAAAATTTGTATTCGTAAAAATTTTGCTATCTTAACGCATTGTTAGTTGTTATTAGGTATTTTCTTTGAATGAAGTCTACAATTTTACCTACAAAGGCTGTAATTTATGGTCTTTGTAGATCTAGAATCTTGCTTCACTGGGTTTGTTCTCTCTTCCTAACGAAAACGCAAAGTGGTCCCTTGGGCAGTGAATTCAGCGGGGAGACCGAGGTTCACTACTATCTACAATCCCGAAAGGGTTAGTTGGTGGCAAATATTCTGTGTTGTATTATGTTGCTTGCCCCTTCTGAGTACTGCTCGTAAGGCTGTCTATCTCGTCTACTTGATACAATTGCAAGGATTTCCAATGATAAATTAATTTAGATGATTATATGTCCAATTACAGAAGGCTTTGAGTGGCCAGGAAACAATCTAATAATCAACTCAAAAGGAAAAGGTCCGCGATTTATCGGCCTAATTTTCACTAATTTCACTAACACTAGACTATTCTCTCTCTCTCTCTCTATATAGAGAATCTCTGATGAGAACTAACTATCTACTGGTCTCTTACTCCGAGAACCAATTACTCAAGTTGCTAGCAATAACTTTTCTCTCTAACTAACTGAGAATCATCTATACTCTCTCTCTCAGTATCAATTGCTCTCTTCTCTGACTGAGAACCAGCTACTCCTAATAGTAGTTAACAATTGTTCTGACTCTTAAACGCTCTCCGGTACCCTCCAATTCCTTATCTTTCTATACACTAAGTTTTAGTTAAGTCACGCCATTCTCTATCAGTCGTGACATCCGCTTAAATCACCCGTCCGCACATGTTTTAAGACTATATCCTTCCTCCTGTCAAGTCTGCCACGTGCCCAATTTGGTTTATTTTATCAACCTTTTAACGCTTATTAGTTACCCGGTATGCAGTGGGTGTCACAATTTGACCAAGCAAACAAAATTCATATGATTCGAATCAACTAATTCCTGACCTCAGTGACTTCAATTCTCGGGTTCAACTCAACCTCCAAACCAGGCTATTTTTACTCAGTGATCCTCCCAAGGTCTTTATTTTAATTATCCCGTTATCGTTTCGATCTCCCAAGGGTAGGGAGAGACCCTTTTCATGGGAAGCTATTTCATTCCAAGCATCTAAAATTTCTGTCTGTACTCTTTTCCAATCCCGACCTTCTAGCTATCAGGGGAGTAAGTTCATCTATTAGGGGTCAAATCTAAACAAAAGATCACCTCCGGGAAGCCAAGTAAATTCACTGTCTTTTCATTCTACTTAGGAGACCTAATTCTCACGCTGCGGTCCTATCACTATCAATTTCCTCTGGAACTACTTTTCTTTAGTCTAGATGAATTGCAATTAATAGATCACTTGCCAAGCTAAACTGAATCCAATGTTTGCCAAGTCCACTTTAAATTAACTCCACTATTCCAAGGTTGCAATGTAAAAGCTATATCTATATCAGCTTCTGCTCTAGTTCCTAAAATATAAGTTTTCCCTCAAATTTTAGCAAGGTGACCCATTCTCCTTTCCAGGGGTTGGGCTGGGAAATACGCCACTTTCCGGTGTTAATCTTGGGGTTTTCTGTGCAATTTTGGGGTCAAGACGCCCAAAGGTCAATTTGAGGTCACCCAGGGTTCAACCGGGGTCAAACTTCTATATTTGATTTCAGAATCCCATGGGGTCCTAACTACCAAGTTCTATCCATATCCCATTAATACTTCACAAGTTATCCCATTTCTAAGGTCCATTATCACTTTTTCAAATGGGCTATTAACACTGGAAGGAGTCGCCGGAGGGTTTTTACTCACTAGGGGTCTTTTTCGTGATTCGTATTTTATTTTATGTCGATTGCTGCAATAAAATCTTTTTGCCACCGTTCATTATTTTGCGTTAATTGTCTACTTTTGGTCTAAAGTGGTGTTTTTTTAAAGTGCTAATAGCCTCCGACCCACCCACCGGAGTTAGTTCAAATTATAACACAAGATGTATCTTGCCATTACCTATCATCTCTCGAAGTTTCAGCTCCCCGTGATCACTGTAGGCCGAGAAACGACTTCCGGAAGTTAGGGGTGGGTTTGTTCACTTAGGGCATAAAATTGGAAGTGGTGTTCCTAGGAGTATGGGATTCTAAAATTAAGCTTCCCTTAACTAGGCCTACAACATACTATATTTTGAGCCCCTTACCGCCGCTAGTTTTCGTGTTCTGATAGGGCCATTAACACTTCCGGGGACTGTTATCACTTGCCCCCCAAGGGTCTGAGGGGTCCCGTTTTTCGCATGCCCTGATCAAATCATCTGTAGTATCCCTCCTCTGAATTTCATAACATTAGCTTCCTTAGTTTCGATTTGGGGGGGGGGGGGGTTTCGCCGATTTTCTCAACTTTTATTTTCTGGCACAGGAGGGACGATATCTTCG